TGGGTATTAACATTCCCGCCTCCGCCCCCGCCCCCAATTTTATCAATCGGGGAAAATCTGAACCCGATAAACACGGGTTTTCCCCATCCAAATCGGGACGGGTGGTACCCACAAGGACGGGTTAGATTGCCATGTCTATATAAGTTGTTGACATTGATTGAGTGTGATTTAAAAGAGATCATAATCATAAATGTTGCTCCAGAAAATTCTCAATCTTTTTAAACAATAAGCAATGAGAGAAAAGAAAATGCCTAATATATTAACATAAGGCGATCATAAGTAATCATAGAATTTGGTTTTACACACATGATGCAGATCAAGGACAAAAGGTTTAATTAAAAATAATATTTACTTTTATGAAACAATAATAGCTTATGTTTTTTATAAGATTTTAAACAAGAATTAGGAAGAACATCCCCAAACAAAATGCTACAAGAACATAAGGACTCTAAAATTATCTATAATGGATAAAAGCAGAATCAGAACAATAAATAAAATGAGCAAGTTAAGAATATATTGTTTGAATTCATGCGGTTTAAGTTTAATTCACTTAATAAGTTTCATCACATCTATGGCTATATGACTTCTCTTATATTTGTAACCTTGGTAATCTTCTTTATTAATTTTAACATACTCAATCAATATCCAAAAAATATTGTATTGCAAATTGCTATATGATTTCTAGTTGGTAAAAGTAGTTATAATTTTATGATTAACGTGAATTTCACTGTTTGGTCCAAAACATGTGACTTACATCCTTGAAAAATCCCAGGACAAGGACTTATATGCATCTTTTAGATTCAAGAGGAAAGACACAAAGTAATATATCATAGACTATTCAAAAGAATTTCACAATCAAAAACCTAAAGAAATCTAACATAAAAAAATATACAAAACAACAATTTTTTAAAACTAATAAACTGCATAAGAAAACATCAAAGTCATGTTCCCATTTACAAACGATTCTAACCAAACATTTACTTCATATGCAAACAAAATATACAAAACAACAATTCTGTTAAACTAATAAACTGCATAATAAAACACCAAACTCATGTTCTCATTTAGCTTCTAACCAAACATTTACTTCCTATTTTTGCATATGTGCAGGTGCAACTTGGCAAAATCAAGAATGTTTCAAAATCAACGATGACAACCAAAACCATATTTACAATTTAAAACTTGTTCAAAAATTTAAAATATTCCAATAAAATAAAGATACCCTTAAATCTTTAACCATATTCAAAACAATTAAACAATATTTAAACCTA